GGGGGGGGGGGAAATACATGAAACACAATTTTTATTGGAAGAGGATTTTCCTTCCAAACAATAACACCTCCTTCACCTCCCTGCTCAGTCCCATCCCAGGAGGCACTTGATTCTTAGCAGGAAGGAAAAGTGGAGATAAATGTTCATTTATTTCGTATTTTGTATTTGTGCATAAGGCAGTATATATGTTATTTTGTGAAACCCAGTCAACGTATTATCTGAAAGTAACTATAGGCCCCCCCCCCCCCCACTTTCCCATAGAAAGGATGCATGATTCGCCATTTATTTCTATGGGAAAGTTCTTTCTGTATACGCACTGTCTGATATTCGTTCAAAGAACACTAAGGGATTAGGTACTTATATCGAGGTATCACTGTATACTTTATTGTCATGGTTTTGTCGTCTCACAGACACCAGGTTGTAGCCCAGTGTCGTGGTTTTATCGTCTCCTGATACCAGATTGTAGCCCAGTGTCGTGGTTTTATCGTCTCCTGATACCAGATTGTAGCCCAGTGTCGTGGTTATATCGTCTCCTGATACCAGATTGTAGCCCAGTGTCATGGTTTTGTCGTCTCACAGATACCAGGCTGTAGCCCAGTGTCGTGGTTTTGCCGTCTCACAGATACCAGGTTGTAGCCCAGTGTCATGGTTTTGCCGTCTCACAGATACCAGGTTGTAGCCCAGTATAGTGGTTTATATCTTCTCACTGATAACAGGTTGTAGCCCAGTATCGTGGTTTTGTCGTCTCACTGATATCAGGTTGTAGCCTAGTATTGTGGTTTATATCTTCTCACAGATACCAGGCTGTAGCCCAGTATCGTGGTTTATATCTTTTTACAGATACCAGGTTGTAAACCAGTGTTGTTCTGTATTTGCCATGCATTTCTGTGGTGACCTGTGTGATGGATTTGTTCACTGTGATCACGCATCCGTAAACATAGTTCTGGGAATTCCCCTTCTGATCTGTGCTGCTGTGGCTGCAACAACGGGAGTGAACCTGGTCTCTTAGAGAACCAAACTGCGCGCTACCACCCCACCACTCTTGTTCTTGAATTCAAAGTTTCAGAAGGTTTGCTAAAAGTGACTTTGATGTTTAGTTTAATTAATGAGTAGAGATGATTGTAGAGAAATAGATTGTGGCATTATATATCAGTGACAATAATAGAAGGATTTCTCGTTAGCTTCCAATGCGTTATTCGTGTGTATGAATTATTCACGTTTTTTTAATTCAGTTTCGATTTCAATTTGATTATCATGTAGCTGGCACATTTAAGAAGCGTCGCTTCAATCACGAATAGCCAGAAAATGTCTCAGCTATTTTCAGTTCTCTCTATCTCGCTCATTTCCGTGCCGTAATTGTCTCCGATATCAAGGGCCAACTTCTGAGATATCATCAATTGCTAGCCTTTTTTTTTTTTTTTCAGCCACAGGTAATTCTGTCTATTAGAGATCGTTCTAGATCCCGGCGACGTTTATTCGTTATCATCATCATCATCATGAACTGTGTTGAAAAGCGTAGGCGGTTAAGGTGTGGTTTTTGCTGAAAAGAGGGACAGGAAAACAGTTGAACGAAACAAATAATTGCAATCGAGAAGACAAGAAAATGTTAAGTCGGGATATTTTAGCAATTTTTATGATCAGAAATAAACTCTAAAGCCCAATGACAACTAATGAACACGACGGAGAAAGTCCAAGGAAACAACATCAAGATGGATTCATGGATTGTTTGACTACGTAGATCATGCGAGACAGTGACACGGGCCTAATTACTCACACACTGTTGATCTTGTGAGAGATTCAGGTGTGCAGGTGCTTTTGCGTCGGCTCGGTGGCCAAGTCAATGCGAACGCTTCGTAATGCCGGGATGCCTGTTTCGATCCCAACTGCAGGCCATGCGCCTTGCGTTGGTTTCGACAGTGGTATCAAGAAAGCTGACCGTCCAGAAAGAAATAGCAAACTACTGGACGTAAATTTGTCTAGAAAACCCACACAACAACGAGGGGCTGTTGGGGTTGGTTCTGCGATGTCCTGTAAGGATACGCAACTAAACTTAGGTGCTTTTTCGAGGGGAAAAATCGTCACATTCAACCAGCATCCTCGAAGGGGGAACTTTAGATTATCATTGCGATTAGGTTATGTCATCCGCATCATCATCAGTTCTCGTTATGCCTAGTGGCACATGAGGCTTCAGAAAGGACTTTCCATGCTTCCCTGCCCTGTGCAATCTTCAGTGCATTTTTCCATGTCAAAGATGCCGCACTCAGGTCACTCTCCGCCGTTCGTCTCCATGTTGTTTTTTGGCGCCCCCTTTTTTTTTCTCTTTCCCTCTGGTGTCCATGTGAGAGCTGTTTTGGCAGGTATATCAGGATTCATTATCATAACATGGCCAAGCCATTTCCATTTGGTTATGTGCGCCACATCAAATGGCTGTTAGAATTGCACACCACCAAGAGCCATGCACATGACCCCTGCAGCGTTGATACGATCAAAGCACCCAGGCTCAAACACTGTCTCGACTGGCGACGAAGTCGTCTACCGTCGTGGGCGACGCGGTCGCCTATATGAGTGTTGTGTGCCTGGCTCTCTAGCGTAGTTGGCTAAAACGGACTGCGCGGTGAGCAGGTGACAAACTCCTTGTGGTCCGTGTTCACTCCCGGGACTAGGCAGAAACAAATCGTTAACAAATCGTGGCTTCTGGATACTAAAACAAACAAACTATATGAGTGTTGTCAGAGATTTTAATGCGATGTCGAAGTATTTCAGTGTCGGAGACATTTGTCCTTCTCTTCCCATCCATGTTTTTTTAAATCACATATTTCAATGATACTATCAGACACATTGTGGGAATGACACTTTGTACTAGGTTCATCGAGAAACATCAGATCAAGTGATTTAGCTATCTCGTTAGAAGGCAGCAAGGACAAATATTATCACAGACACTACGTCTCAGAAGATCAGCTTTAAGATCAAGAGGACGGCTGCGGAAATATGGATCGACAACATTAAAGAACTACAGCCCTCACGGTATGACAATAGCCAGTGGCAGCCAACCCGCAATGGATCGCAAATGATTCCCTCCCATGGCGCTGAAGGACAGAAGTGGTTAATGATAATGATGATATTTCGTTGTAAAAGTTCCTTTTACACACCAGTGGCGCATCAGCCATATGAGAACAGACTCATATTTTGATAGGCCATCTCCATGGGTGATGTGGTCAACATCATACCAGCCGCCTTTACTTCCCCGGACTTTACCTAGTACCCATTTTGACGTTGGCTCGGCCTGGAAGCCAGTGTTATGAAAAGAAAACCCTGCACCGTGTAGATTGGAGTGTATAAGCTTGGGATCCTCGAGCGTGCCTCTAGCCGGTACACAAGGGCGGCTTACTTATCTTTCGTTGAATTGTAGATTTGAGTTGATAAGCTTGGGATCCTCGAGCGTGCCTCTAGCCGGTACACAAGGGCGGCTTACTTATCTTTCGTTGAATTGTAGATTTGAGTTGATAAGCTTGGGATCCTCGAGCGTGCCTCTAGCCGGTACACAAGGGCGGCTTACTTATCCTTCGTTGAATTGTAGATTTGAGTTGATAAGCTTGGGATCCTCGAGCGTGCCTCTAGCCGGTACACAAGGGCGACTTACTTATCTTTCGTTGAATTGTAGATTTGAGTTGATAAGCTTGGGATCCTCGAGCGTGCCTCTAGCCGGTACACAAGGGCGGCTTACTTATCCTCGTTGAATTGTAGATTTGAGTTGATAAGCTTGGGATCCTCGAGCGTGCCTCTGCCGGTACACAAGGGCGGCTTACTTATCTTTCGTTGAATTGTAGATTTGAGTTGATAAGCTTGGGATCCTCGAGCGTGCCTCTGCCGGTACACAAGGGCGGCTTACTTATCTTTCGTTGAATTGTAGATTTGAGTTGATAAGCTTGGGATCCTCGAGCGTGCCTCTAGCCGTTACACAAGGGCGGCTTACTTATCTTTCGTTGAATTCGTCGACAACTGTGTTGACTATTTTAACCAAAATCTGACTACAATGCTCAGCCTTTTAAATGGATCTGCTAATTAGAAATTAACGTTTGTCATGTATCTATCGTTAAGAATTCCGTTGATACGTGAAGTGTAAGTTGGTGTGTTGGATTCTTTCTATCCATGATATCCAAACAACTTGCAGAGTGTAGGACAGAATGGATGAATATATTGCGTAGATTGCGTATACTCGGTCACATAAAAACGGCACGGGATGACGATGATGTTGTAGAGTCGACAAATTAGGCAATGGTCGTAACATGGCCTGGACGGCGACTCAAGTCGCAAAATCAACGACTTGACACTCGACTCGCGGGTTTTGTTCCAGCGACTCGCCATTCGACTGGCAACTTGTAGCTTCGACGACTTGGTAGGACTTGTTCTTCGCGACCGACCACTGTTAGATTTGATGATCAAAGTCAGAATTTAAAACGTCCTTATATAAAACAGGACGAATAAATTCTGTTTCGATTGATGAATCTTTCACATTCTACTTCTGGGTTTTTATGCAGGCGTATACTGTCCCATGAGTTTTTCTCACTACCGTTTCCAGTTATTTTCGAAATTTTCCCGTTGCACTGACCCATGAAGACTTGCAAATGACTTGATGCATGAAGTGACCTGACTTAAGACTGAATTTGGAAACATTCTGGGTGACTTGAAACTTGAGTTGGGACTTGGTGGCAATGACTTAGGACTCGGCTCAGACTTTAGGGGTGGTGAATAAGACCAACCTCTGGAAACTATCTCACTATAATTGTGTGAATAGTTCCTCTAGCTTTGGTGGAAATACTGATTACGTCTGCTTTCATTTGTCAACTACTGTTTAACTGACTGTAACACTTTTTTTCTGTTTCAGCAAAATGTTGATAATGTAGACATACTCTTTTGCAATGGTTACATTACAATTAAATTCCTGTGATGTTTTGTTATCCAGTTTTCCAGGACTAGTGAGCTAGCCAAGTATTACTCAGATGGCGTCTGCTAATCATAGGAAAACAACGTTCATTTCCCAGAAGTTGCAGTTCTTGAAAGATCAAGGAGACCAACTAAACATCGCTGTTGGCCTCTATGTGAATGCCGTATGTGTTACATGTCCATCGTCTAGTGTTGTTAGGATTTATTATATGGTAACAATCCTTACTGTAATCCTCTTCCCGATGATATGGGCCGCTCGATAGCTTTCCTAAGGCTACCGGCCTCCTGATAAATGTTTCTGACAAAAGGCTTGTAGAACAAGAAGGCGACTATGATCATCAGTATCACCACCATCCTCATTCCCATTGACCTTTAAATACTTTACCTACTGGACAAGTCAGTCTAGACTCCCCACAGCTGGATATCTCTACCAGAGTACCCCCATCCAGGTGCTGGTCTTTTTAATGTCACTACGAACAAATCAGCTCAGTGGTGCAGTGACTAGCTCGCATACTTGCTGGTCTGAAAGTATACACATCACTATCATCAAGGCAGGACATGTTGCTGATAATTAATTATATCTCGTCATCTCCATTTTCGTAATTTTAGAGCCCCACCCTGGCTTGGGGTGGGTGGGGTGGGGGTGGGGGGGGGGGGCTTAAATATAGCCGGACCTGAAATATGGCCTAACGGCTGAACAGGGTTTCCGGGACCACTCCACGGGTGATCCTCATCCGCATAGTGGAACATCGAGTGCTTGTCGCTTGTGTGATGTCCTGGTGGGGGACAACTTACCTACCTACCTAGGACATGTTGCTTCATTGAGCTGATCTCTCCTACTAAACTAGCCAAGTGAGCGCCGATTAGCTTTCGAAAATGTGAAACTCAGGACATATCCAGTCAATATCTGACGTTTCTTCTTCTTCTTTTTTTGAGTTCGGTGTTGTTTCTTCGGCGTTCCTGCCGTTTAGAATGTTTCTTTCCCTTACACAGCAATGATTATATACAGCCGGTAATTTTTCCTCCTCTATTTCCTCTTCTTAATCCACATTTTCTTCATTGTCTTCCGTCCTCTTCCACTTCAACATATTCGTGGAGCATTCATGATGAAGAAGAAGGGTGTAATGTCACATCTGCAATTTAAATACTCATTACTGGTCGTGTAGGAGTTGTCGTGGTATAGTGGTTAGACGCTCGGTTCGGATTAGAAGGTTATAAATTCAAATCTGCATCGAGTCAGGTTTTTCAAAAATGAAAGTCCTGGAGAGTAGAGCGGACGGCATGGTGGTGACCATATCACCCACCAAGTACCGATTGACCTATAAAATATACGTCTAGCCCTATATGCCAAATATTTCAGAATGCGCGAAACGAGTCCTTTACATTTTACTATACGCCCAATACGCCTGATGGCGGTGTTCTTCGATAGTTCGACTTAATCTCCCCAAATAGAGTAGGTCACTTTTCATTCACAAGTTTGTTGGGCTGGTAGACTTTCTGAAGGTTACGGGTGTATCCCGCTCTGTTGTTTGGTTTCTGTGATGTCTTGAATTTACGTTTTTATTCTGAGAAAGAGAATGCCTGTGACATAGGTTGCAGCTCCGTAGGGGAGGGGGATGTGTTTGACCCAGTTCCTCCATGTGTTAAAAGCGCTGGCGTGGTTAAATATACAACACGCGATATCACGGCATAGCGGAACACTCCCGTAACCGTGTGCGAATGTCACGGGGCTCAGAAACTATCAGTTAGAAGTTAGCTAGAGTGTATATGGTGGGCCTGGGGAGACTAACGTCGTACTTACCGGGCTTGGTTTTGCTGGTCGTGTCCCCTGGTTACCTGTGAGCTTTTGGGCACTATTTTCATGCCTTTCTCCGTTTAGATATCCTTGTTAAAGAAATTATCACATTTACATACCCACAGTTCAATGATTACCTTCCAATAAGGTTCATGCTTTTACAGATAGTCGAGATTGGAGAGGCTTGGACGGAAGAGGGAGATAATAAACCGAGCTTCCTGGAGTTATGTCAGATGATAGATAGGGCAGTGGAGTCCCTCTGTGAAAAATGTGCAGACCTGTCAGGTAAGTATACTATCTTGACAGCGACATATGTTTCTTTGATAAGTATTACTGTCATAGTGTGTTCATCACGATTTTAAGAAAAATAAAAAGTACTTTAAGGATGTTTACAATTGTTCTGTGTGTTGAACCACAGAGAGCACCCCCCCCCTCCCCCCCCCCACCCCACACAAAAGGAGCAGGTGGGACGGAAAGTTAATACCTGAGTCTTTTATCAAACATTTCCACTTCTGTTGTTAAGCGTTGTGGGGAGAAACAGTCTGCGATCTTTTGGTTGATAGGCAGCGATGGCTATTGCCATTCCGTGTCGACGTAAAAACTCTTTAATGTCATCGATCCATGTTTGTTTAGGTCGGCCTCTTGGCTTAACTTCAGATTTTTTCGTGTGTAGCGCCTGCACTGGTAGCTGTTCTGACTTCATTCTTACTAAAGGACCAAACCATTTCATCTGTTGTTTCTCAATGAATTTGCTGCATGGTGTTGTTCCTAGAGTCTGTCTGATAATATCATTTCTAACTTTATCTCAGTCGGTTAAGTTGGCGGCTTTTCTCAAGCATCTCATTCCACAGTTTTTAATTTTACGTAGGTTAGTCTTTGATAATGTTCAAGTCTGGCACTGGTAGCACAGTGTTGGTATGAATATGCTGTTTATAATTTGTTTCTTGGCGCTCATACTTATGTTTGTGTACTAGAAGCGAAAGCTTAAGAAACAAGAAAAATAAAGGAAAAGAGTTCATTAGGCGGGAAATAAAACCAGAATTCTTCTAGCCCAGACATAAGATTTTTTGTATACAGTCTAGATAGTAGTAACAGTACACTAAGCACACCAACCACAAGTTCTAATCTGAATCAAAACAAAATGAAGCTGTAATTACTACTTTCATCAGCTGTTTTTTTTTAAACAAATAACAAAACATTACCAATCATCAACGTGCCAAGCATTTTACCAATGAACTAAAATATCACCAAGCTATGATACACACTGATATATCTCTACAAAGTTTAACTACTAGAGACATTCATATTTAACTATGGAAACATACCACCGCAATGAAATCAGCCAGACAACCAGTCATTCCCCGCAATCGCATGTACCCACGTTGTTTAGCCTAGTGTGCGGAGCTACAACAGCTGGGTGGGTCTCCTGTCCTGAGCGACTACGAGTTCAGTTCGAAAAGCCAAAATGAATCCGGTTACGGGTGCGATAGACTTTTTATACACCGTGGCCAGGTTTCATCACATGTGCTAGTCGAGTGGAACATTTGTCTTTGGCGTACTGCCACATTTTGATGTACTAATAACGGTGTCAGTTGGTTTATAAGTACATTGGCTCATTGGCATCCTGTTTCTATTTCTCGATCTATTCTCCCGTTCTCAGAGAATAGAGTTCCTAGATATTTATTATTTTTAACTTGTTTCAGACAAGTACCTTCATAATGCCGGGATGCCAGGTTCGATCGCTGCTGCGGGCCATGCGCCTTGCGTTGGTTTCGACAGTGGTATCAAGAAAGCCGACCGTCCAGAAGGCAATGGCAAACTACTGGACGTTAATTTGCTTAGAAAAACCACACAACAGCCAGGGGCTGTTGGGGTTGGTTCTGCAACGTCCTGTAAAGGATACGAAACAACCAGACAAGTACCATTGAACCTGATATGTGGCGTATTATGAATTCTGCTGATCTGCATTACTTCAATTTTAGTATTAGGGCCTATTGTTTTTTGTTATATCTTCTGCTTGTTGAACTTAGCCTGATTAAATATTCTTGCAGTCTACTCCCCTCATTGTAGAACAAACACTGACCTGACTCGATATTAGACTGAATGCCTACACAAATCTTCTGTTAGTATGGTGGGCAAAGAAACAGCAGTTCGGGTGGTTAGTACTGCTACTGAATCAGATGACCAGTCAGTGCAGGCGCTGACATTATGAACCATCCTACAGAGTTGGGTAGAACATGGACTTAAAGCCGGATACATCAGTAACCGTGGCTGGAATGTAAACATTTAAACTAACGATTCGAGATATTACTAAATCGCAGAATAGCCAGCAAAGGAGACGACGGATCAGTCACTTGGGAAGGATCTAAAACAGTGGTCTTCAACCTTGGGGATGGACTTCCAGTGGGAGTGACAAAATTCTGCCCCCTCCCCCCCCCCCTCAACAAAAAAAGGGGGGAGGGGGTGCGAGCGTCAAGAAACGTTTGAAAATGAATATTTTTTGGGTACTTATAATAATCCGTTAGATCAACATAAAAAAATAACCATAAATAATAATATTAATAAAAAGGGGTCTTATCATATACTCAAGAAAGGGGGGGGGGGGGACTAACTGAAAAAGGCTGCAGACCACAGATATAGATAGTCTCTGTATGTGGCGATCAAAGGGTTGGTTAAATCACAAACAAATCAGGCTGAACGTTTCTGTGATTTTGTTTTAATATTTCATTAGTCCCTCCAACCATCATCATCTTTCTGTGAAATCCCATAGCCGCACAGGACCCTGACAGGAATGCCTCTTGTGATGTGATGCTGGTTCTTTATTCAACATTCATATAATGATAGACACCGTAGACTTGTTTGATCAACGCGCTAACTTTCCATGTTGAATGTATAAGAGGAACATGCGGACCTGTTATTATTGTTTGATTTCCACACTCGTGGCGCGGTGATTTCGGTCACAGGCATGAGGGGAAGTTAAGTCTGATGTGATGTGTATAAGGAGATATTCCGTACCCCACTCGGACGCCAGTCCTTCACTGTTCTGGTTTTACGGAACCTCATGCAAGACTCCTGCTGCACGTCCCCGTCGTGCGCCACGGATAATGCCTCAAATGAGCATTAACAGAGTTGGCAGGGGATCTCGGAGCTGGCGGCCCCTAGAGGTGTAGTGCCCTTTCTGGCTCTCACCAGCCCGCCCCCAAACGCATGGGTGAAAAGTATAACAAAACTCATTCGGAACATGAGTAAGGATTGCTTGCTAAATGTACCATCAAATGACAACTCTCGGTTAAAATTCGGATGCGAATGGAAAACTGTGCTGCTGAGACTCAACCCTGACCGAGAGATTTACCCGCAGCCAAGACGAGTAACATCTCTTGTGGGCGATTTCTCGCAGCAAGATCCTACCCACGTACATCCTCTGTCAATCCTCAGTGCCGTCGTCACCGTGCTGAGGTACACCACGGCAGCAACTCTTCATAAGCTGGCTAGGAAATAACGTCCGACAAAGTTATACCCCACGGCACACATGCAAGCTCAAAGTCCGACGATCAGAATTCGTACAGAGTAGGGAAAAGCCAAATGTCCGTATCCACTGGTCCCACTCGCCCGAGTGTTGGGACCAAACAGGTGAAGCCTGATTCTGTCATGCTAAGGGCACAGCTGAAACAACGTTAAAGGTGTCTAACGTACGATGAAAAAGAATGTACCTATTTGTGTGGCCACAAAAGTCCTGGACCTGCGGGCTGCTCCCTGCTAATCTCCGGAGAGAGCAGCCTTGTAGCGCGGGAAGCTCAATACACGGTTGTGAGGTTAAGCAGTCATGGGCAGGACGTGACGATTCCTTGGGTGAGCCCAGAACCAGAGCATCATGTGTCGGCTCTGCATTTATGGAAGCCTCCTTGGATGGCGGGAAATGCCTATGATCTGCCCCTGCCTTCCCGTGAGGGCTGACAATTCTACCTAGGGCTGCCTTAAGGAGGATATTCCGGGGGCCACACCTGTTAAAGGTCAAAGAGGACACCACACAAATGAGGCAACATCTCGACCCACACAAAACAACGGCCACAGTCAACCTAGAAATAGGCTTGACGTCTTCCCTCGAAGTCGGAGTACATCTGCCGGTGAGGCAGGGAACGAGGACTGCAAACAAATAAGACAGTAAAACGGATGTACACGCAAAACTCAGGTCAAGGTAAAAGCCAAAAGTCCATTTTGGACGAACAACCGCGACTTACCGCCGGAATTCACATTTGTTTAGTCTTCCTCTCATTGAAGTGTTTACACTATGACAGCATGATTGTAGTCAGTCTATATTAGTATTAATTCATCACCACCACGTGCCCTGCAGACTGACTGTCATGCATCTCAACATATCTCGGTCCCCTGGAACAGTTCTACTAATGATTTTCCTCCATGCAGCCGTAGCAGTTCATCCGTCATCGTCTCTCTTGATCTGCCTCTCCGTCTTCCACCATTGATCTTTCCAGACGCCACAATGTTCTCTAAAGCCCACCCCTTCATTACATGATAAAAGAACAGTGCTTGTATTTTCCTTATATATTTGATATGCTGTCATTAGCTTCCTTGAAACAATCCTCGTTGTTACTCTGACAGTCTAATAGATTCTCAACACACAAACCTAATTAAGAATGAAAAATGCATGCTGCTGTTACTGTATAAGAATTGCGCTCACTAATTCTTGGTTTGATTTTCTGCACAGAGGAAGCTCATATGAAACCGTCTGTGGCCAGAATTGCTGCTCTAGAAAAGACCGTGGACTCCTTTCAGAGTAATGCAGAAAAGGTTGCTGAACATCAAAGTGGCATTGATCAACAACTGAAGGAAATATTTTCCAAGCTTACAGAGTTAGAAAAGAAGCACAATTCCAGGTTTAGAAAAGTGAAGGGAGAAATCAGTGAGATTAACACAACACAAGCTGAATTAGACCAAGAACAGAGAAGGTTGCAAGATCTGGAGAAGCATTTGCGAAAGTTATCTACAGAACAAGACAGAGTAAAACAAGAGATGGAATATCAGGCAGAACTGATGGAGAAGCTTGTTCGCGTGCCCGATCAGCTGGAGTCTGTGAAAGAAAACTTTGAATTTATTAGATTTGAGAGTTCGGGAAATCACAGATGACTGCAGCAGCAAGCATCACGATTTAGAACATGCAACACTTGACCTGTCAGACAAGGTCATGGCTAGCACAGATACTCTCAATGAAGGTCAGCAGCAGATAGCGACCTTGTTAAGAGGATTAGAAACGAGGCTGCAGACGATGG